CCCCGCCCCCTCCCCCACGCCGCCGTGCTTACTGGGCCTGGGCCGCTGGGGGCTGATATCCAGGTTGAGGTCGATCCTCCGCCGGGCCTCGCGGTTCTCCTGCTTCAGCTTTGCTTCCAGGCGGGACAGCTTCTGCTCCAGGGAGGACGCCGCCATCTTCCCCGCCGCCGCCGCCGCCGCGCACCGCCCGGCCGCCCGTCAGTCCGGCAGACAAACACCGCACTGCGCCTGCGCCCGGATGACCCCGCCGAGCCGCCGTCTCGCCCTGCCTGGCGCATGCCCGCGGGGCGCACCCGCCCTTCCCGCGTGAGACCCTCCGCGCGTGCGCGCTTCGCCCCAGCCCGAAGGATGACGCCACCTAGAGCTCGCGGCTGGCAACGTGCAACCCCGCAATCACCGTGGTGCGCATGCGCGAACACCGGACTGCTCTGGGGAGAGGCGCATCCTGGAAACCCGTGGTTCTTCAGAGTGGTGGGCGGGGAAAGCGGCACGCATGCGCACAGGGCGAGGACGGCGCAGGCAAACGGTGGTCACGCGGCGTGACTTCTGCTGCGCGTGCGCACCCCTGACGCCTGGTTTATCTGCTGCGGTCCGATGTGGTCTCCCGCGGCGGTGCACCCTCAACCTCGTGGCTCTTCCTGCTTGGGTCTCGGTCCGCCACGCCCTCTCAGAACTGCCTTTGTCGCCTCGGACAGTGCTTCATTAGAATCCCTTTAATTGCTAGCTGGCCTTTGGTAGCCGCGCGGTGCTGTCTCCTCACCATAATTAGGCACTGTGGGAAGCGCTTTCAATTTCCAGCCAGTCCCCAGAAAGTTCAGGGTTGGCCAAGGCGGCGGCGGGGGGGTATCCCTGGGAATGCAGCTGCGTGACCTCTGACCTCTACGAGGGGACCAAGGTCAAGACCAGAGCTCCTGGCCAAACCCACGAGTGCAGGGTTAGGGAGAAGACGTCCCCTGCACCTGCCCCGCCCAGGGAATGCAAGGGTCGAATAGGGCCTGACAACAGGTGCCCACCCCCGGCCTTGACAGCTCCTTCATGGTCTGAAAGGTGCTGGGGAAATGTACCTCTCAGGAACCCTGGTCCCTTTGAGGTGTGAGGAGGAGGCTTAGTCAGCAGGTGGGCAACCCCAGGCGACCAGGGCCAGGCAGGCTGTGCCATGTGCCCTGCCCACTCCAGGTCCAAGGCGGGAACACCTTACAGTGGGCCCGGAAACCTTGTGCGGGCTCCTCTGGTGGAGAAGACACCCGCAGTGTGGAGTTCAGAGGATGAAACGGGAGGCTGAGGGGCCAGCGCTGTGGTATAGCAGGTAAAGCCGCTGCCTGTAGTGCTGGCATCCCATATGGGCAACGGTTCGAGTCCCGGCTGCACCACTTCCTATCCAGCTCTCTGCTATGGCCTGGGAAAGCAGTGGAAGATGGTTCAAGTCCATGGGCTCCTGCACCCTTGTGGGAGACCCAGAAGAAGCTCCTGGCTCCTGGCTTCTGATTGGCTCAGCTCCAGCTGTTGTGGCTATCTAGGGAGTGAACCAGTGGATGGAAGACCTCTCTCTCTCTCTCTCTCTCTGCCTCTGTCTCTCCGTAACTCTGCCTTTCAAATAAATAAATATTTTAAAAAGAAAAAGAAAAAAAAATAAAGAAATGGAAGGCCGAAGAAGACGATTTTCCTGAAAAGAGCAGGGCAGAAGACTACCCCCAACCCCGACCCACTGCCAGGGTCTTCCAACTTTGACGAGGGTTCCCTCCCCTTTCCTGGGCCACCTTCCATGCCTGTCCCCCTCCACGGGAGACTTCCCCTCCACCTGGCTTCCAGCCTGCAGGTGTCCCCAGCTGGTCCCATGAAACAGCTCAGACAACAATGGCAGTGGACATCCGAGGTCAAGGCTTCAGCCCCCATCGTCACTTCATTTATTAAGCTCCCCTGACAGTCGCCACGTGCCCTCAGGACGGTGGCTCCTCCACGACAGGTGTTCTTAACCCGAAGAAGTCCGCCGAGCGTGGGGAGTCTGCCAACAGTCCTGAAGGGGGAGCTCGGGGTTGGCTGGAGCCAACACTGTGAGAACATCTTCCCCGAGGACGGAGGCACTCAACATCGAGACCTTCCGACTTCCGTTCCCTGGGTCAGCATTTCCCTCCGTGCTGGGACCACCTGCACAGAGTTACCTGGGAGTCTCCTGAGTCAGTCTTCCCCTGGGTGGGGCCTGGGATGCTTCCTCGTGCGCCAGCTCCACGGCTGGCTCGGACGCACACAGCCAGAGGTGAGAACCACTGGTCTGGTTCCCGTGTCTGGCACACAACTTCTTATAAAGAAGGGATTAGCATCCTACATTGGGGGGGGGGGGGTCCCTTGTGTGTGCGTCTGTCCCCTCCTTGGGCGAGAACCCCAGATGTAAGCTGCTGGGTTGTGTGTGTGTGTGGGGGGGGAGAGGGTGGAAAATCTCATTGGAACGTGCCCTCCACCCCAACAAACAGCACAAGAATCGAGCTGGAGTGACTTAGAGGCCAGGCAGCCAGCCAGGCAGGAGAAAAATAACAACAACACGGGTGTGTGGGGTTTTGGTCTCTGAGACGCTCATGGCTGAGTTAATCCCCTCTGTGTGGGGCCCCACCCCGAACCCACAACTGCCTGGCTTTCCCCAGACAAACCAGCCCCAGGATCTCACCTTGGCTCCACAAGGCTTAGCACCAACGCTCCCCCTGCTTCCGCCCTCCTCACCGTTCCGGCTCAGCCCCTTGGCCACCTCCCTTGGAACCACGCTGGAGGCCTGGACGCCGCCCTGCGCCAGGCCCTGGCTTCATTCCTCCCCCATCCTCTCCCGCACCTCTGCAGGCAAGCCCTGGTAGAGGGCCTCCTCCACCAGCAGCCCGGCTTTCTTGAGGGCCCCGCAGTTGCCAAGCTCTTCAGGCAACACCTCCAACCGGTTGCCCTTGAGCCCCAGGCGGCTGAGGGTCCTCAGGGCCCCCACGTGCGGCGAGAGCTGGCTCAGGTGGTTGTAGTCCAGAAGCAGCGTCCGCAGCTTGCGGCAGAAGAAGAGTTCCTCGGGCAGGAGCTCCAGGGCGTTGTAGGAGAGATCCAGGTGCTGCAGGTTCTGCAGGAGGCCCACCTCGGGCGGCAGGGAGCGCAGTCCGTTGTGGGACACGTCCACCAGGCGGAGACCAGAGCACAGGCCGATCTGCGGGGGCAGGGCCTCCAGCTTGTTGTAGCTGACGAAGAGCTGTTCCAGGCTCCTGAGCTTCCGCACGTGCTCGGGCACGTAGGTGATCTGGTTGTGCCACAGCCTGAGCGTGACCAGCTTCCGACAGTGCTGGAAGCTGAGGATCTCCTCGATGGAACGCAGGTGGTTGTCCTTGAGGTCCAGTTCCTGCAGCGCGCCCAGGCTGAAGACGGCGTGGGGGATGCGCTCCAGGCCGCAGGCCGCCAGCTCCAGCTCCCGCAACACCGCCAGCTTCTTGAGGCTGTTGAGGGCCAGCAGGCGGGCCCCGTCGTTGTGCAGGCTGAGCCGCTGCAGGTGCCCGGCCACGTCGGTCACGCTGGCCGGCACCTTCCCGGCATTGCTGCGCAAGGACAGCACCTTGAGTTGCTTCAGCTCCCGCAGGCTCTCGAGGGTGGCGGCCCGGGCCAGCTCAGGGGGGAAGAGCCCTTCCAGGTGCAGCTCTTCCAAGCCCCGCAAGCCGAACACCCACAGGGGCACCTCCCGGAGCTCCTCGCATTTCACGCGGATCACCTTCAGCCTGTCACGCAGGAAGATCTGCAAGGAGAAGGGCAGCCGGGCCGGCGAGTGCAGCAGGCTGAGTTCCTGCAGGTGCACCAGCTGCGAGAGCCCCGGCGGGAAGGTGATGTCACAGATGGCCTCCAGCCGCAGGGCCTCCACCTCGCTGAGCTCAAAGACGGTGTCGGGCAGGCCCGGGAGCATGCACAGGGCCAGCTCCAGCCGGCCCCGCGCGTTGCGCTGCAGCTTCTGCCGCAGCTTCTCCGGTGTCCACTCGTGGTTGAGGTTGAGCTGCTTCAGGCGGCTCTCGCTGACCTCGGAGAGGAAGACGGCGAAGCGCTTGGAGTAGAGCGAGTCGTACTGGTCGATGAGGTGCAGCATGAAGGCAAAGTCGTTCTTGACGTCGGGGATGTCGTTCATGCCGGTCTCCTCCCGCACGGACCGGAAGGAGTACTCCTTGAGCGGCCGGTGGAACAGCCAGTAGAGCGTGTAGAGGCAGGTGACCCCGTAGACGCACACGAAGGAGATGTAGCAGAAGGCCAGCTTGGAGAAGAGGTGGGCCTTTGTGTGGTTGCAGCAGAAGCTGGCGTAGCCCGTGACCTCGGAGGTCTCCACCTTGCAGGCCACCAGGAAGCTGATCTTCTTCACGTAGACCAAGTTGTAGACCAGGATGGCGAAGAACTTACACACTTTGAGCACCGTCTGCCGGATGTACATGCTGTAGAGGATGTCGCCCTCCTCCACGTGGACACGGAACTTCTTGACCTTCTCAAACAGGGCTTTGGCCTGCTCGCCCTCCTTCTTGTCCAGCAGGGTGACGGCTGGCGTCTCGGTCACCACCTTGTCCGGCTCCGCCAGCACTTTCTCTTTCTCACCCTCTCCTGTCTTGCCTGGCCCGGGCCCCGGTCCTCCTGCCGCGGCCACCGCAGTCACTGTGGTTCGTCCCGTGGCGGGGCCCTTGTGGTTCTCCCCGGAGACCTCGGACAGGGCCCGCGTGGTCCACGGCGAATCAAAGCACTTGCCCAGGATGGAGATGAAGTGTTCGATCTTGGAGCTGGTCCCCGGGAACTTGAACCAGAAGCTGGTGCAGACCATGAAGATGAGCGTGTGAATGACCACCAGGTAAGGGAAGTACTTGGCGTACCAGTGGAGGGCCGTCTCGTAGCAGAGCTGGTTGATGAAGCTGTACTGCTGCAGGTCCAGGTTGTTCTTAAGGCCGCTCACCTCCCGGAGCCCCCCCACCATCTGCTCCGAGACCCCCCGCGGCAGCAGCTCCTGGCACGGGGCCTCGGATGCGTTATCCCGGGATTCGTGACTGGGCAGACAGATGATCTTGTCCTGTGTCACCTAGGGATGGGAGAGATGATGGGCGGAAGAGAATGAGGGGCTGGCTGGGGGGCTGGGGGAGGGAGGGAAGCAAGCAGCCTTGACTTTGGCTGTGCCCTTGGAAGAGTTGGTCACTAAACCTCCGTGCATCGGATTGGTCTGAGAAGAGGAGTTGGGTTGAATGGTGTTCTCCTCCGAAAGATACGGAAGTCCTCGCCCCTCCCTCCCTGCAGTGCGTGTGAATGTGGCCTTGTTTGGAAATCAGAACTTTGCAGAAGGGCTCAAGTTAAGATGAGGCTGTTAGGGTGGACCCTAATCTAACAGCGCTGTGTCCTCATAGAATGAGAACCTTTACTTACATTTTTCAATATTTTATTTTACTTCCTTATTTGAACAGAGAGAGAGAGCAAGCTCCCATCCACTGATTCACTCCCCAAATGCCCACAAGAGGCCGGCGCTGTGGCTCACTAGGCTAATTGTCCACCTGCAGCACCGGCACACCAGGTTCTAGTCCCGGTCGCCCCTCTTCCAGGCCAGCTCTCTGCTGTGGCCCGGGAGTGCAGTGGAGGATGGCCCAAGTGCTTGGGCCCTGCACCCGCATGGGAGACCAGGAGAAGCACCTGGCTCCTGGCTTCGGATCAGCGCGGTGCACCGGCCACACTGCGCTGGCCGCAGCAGCCATTGGAGGGTGAACCAACGACAAAGGAAGACCTTTCTCTCTGTCTCTCTCACTGTCCACTCTGCCTGTCAAAAAAAAAAAAAAAAGCCCACAAGAGCCAGAAATGCACCAAGATGGAACTCAAACAAGTCTCTCATATGGGGAGCAGGGACCCAAGCACTTGAACCAGCACCTGCTGCCTCCCAGGGTGCACCTGAGTAGAAAGCTG